ATAATAATAATAATAATAATAATAATAATAATAATAATAATAATAATTTGTCTTTAGCATTTGTAAATAAATAGAATCTACCTCTAGTAGTAAATCCTCCTAGAAAAAAAATCCTATAAGAATGAAACATAGGTTTGCAATTGAGAGTGGAGTTAAAACAAGTAGTAGAAACCATGGGATGGGAATAAAAAGGTGAACAATAACCAAAGATAATCTTAACCTGCATCATCTTTTCCAATATAGCTGGCCTTGATTGTCTGCATCTGGTAAGCCAATTAGACTTTGGCTTGTCCAGTGGGCTTATTCATAGAAGGATTCCTGAATGCAGCATTGCAAAGTGGTTGTGGATTCTGCAGCTTTGGGACTCAGATTTCCCTAAATTCAAATCTCAGTTTTTTCCTGATTCTTCAACCTCCCATTTTATGAGCACTATAACCTTGAAGAAATTACCTAACCTCTTTCTACCTTATTTTTCTCACCTGTAAAATGGAGATGACAATCATACCTGTTCCCTGGAGTCGATACAATGCATATGAAGGGCTTAATAGATAGCTGCATATAGAAGGTACTCTGTAAGTCATTGCGGTGATTTTGCCAAAATTGACTTTTCCAACTATCAATGTTTCCCATGCTTTTCAAAAGCCTCACTGGGTTCTGAAAACTACTTCTCCTGTGCCATCCAGTCCACTGCCAGCCCTGAGATGAGATTTATTGATATCAGAGGAGTGTCAGTCTCCCTAGGCCACTTTAAAATGATCTACTCTTTTTTCACTGGAGTCTGAAAATGGAGAAAACGGTTGCATTTGTAGTGTGTTTTGGCAACAGTTTCCCACAGCATAAAATATCTCGTGTTCCCCCAAACAATTAACTGTTGCCACAAGTTTTGGCAGAGCACAAACCATCTCCTCTGGTGCTTCCATCGTTTCATGAACAACAACAAAAAAAAAACTATTCTCTTCAAAGTTAAAAGAATTTTTTTTCTTGGCACACATTAGACAAACTGGATGAAATCAGAGAGCTTATTTTATCTCCTCTGTTTGGCAGTGCCCCAGCTTCCAAAACACTGGTAGGGACCTGAGGCTTTCAAATTCATGGGGCCATCAACTAAAAATATGATGCCTCACACGCACTCCAAGAGATTCCAATTTAGACTAACAAGAAGTAATTCAACCAAGAAGACTGTCCTTTTCTAGGTTACTTCCTGTGAAACCACTTAATCAGCTTTTCTGTCCTCCTTTCTGCCATGGTTATGGAGTAATGCTAAAGGAAGATTTTTCACATTTTACTTTGCTAGAACATAATCTTTTCTAGCTCTTAGTGTCCTCCTACACACTTAACAGACTGCAGTTTATCTCTTAGAGAAGCATACATCTACCCTTTAGCTCTCTAAGGGAAAGAACTCACAGCAAATTAATAGAAAATAAGCCCAATCCTTTACCTACGCATCAGGTGTCACAAAGCACAAAGCTTTACTGAGCCAAGAAAAAAAAAACTGTCATGAAGAGGATAATTGCTTCCACATTTAACACCTCCAAAAAGGACACAAATAGCTAAAAGGAGGATATTTTAAAACTATATAAATCATTCTACTAGAATATTTCAAACTTGTAAAGTGCTAGAAAAAAAGTGAAGATCAATTAAATTGCATTTGCCTTTGAGAGTCCATTTAGCTCATGCAACGTGCATGAAAGCCCCTTCCCTGTGATTCTGTATGGGGAGAGATGACATCACCTGGATGGGAAGAAGTCAGGCTTTGGTACAACTAAGAAATGATTAAGGTGATTGTAAGACCTTGGTCTGCCAAGAACTTTTCTCATGGAGAAACTGAAGACCTTGCATCTTGATACCAGAAAGACATCAACAGGCTCCTTGGCAGAGTCCATCTTCACCCTGGTTCTCCCCTCCCCACCTGTCAAACTGTCACCTCTTAAATCTGTTCTCCTCCTGGACTTTGATTTCATCAGCCCCCTGCCATAACACCATCCCTTCACATCAATTAACCGTGTGTTGCTATTTTTTTTTCTTTACTACTAGAAGACAGTATCTCTTACTTGAGATCTCTACTCCATCTTCCATTTCTCTATTTAGCTATGCTTTAGCTGAATTTTTATAATTAGTGTCAGA